GTGCGGTGATGGCGGGCCAGAAGATAATGAGGGTGATGGGGTGCACCACTGCCGAACGTGATGGTGATGATGCTTCTGTGAACTGGTAATGCCGCTGATGCTGGCGAACACCATCATCAGCATAGGCATAATCATTCTCAGAATCAACATCATCACCATGAACATCATGACACGACGGTGCTGGTGAAAATCATGATTATTCATGTAAGTAAGGTGGTCAAAACAGATTTATGGTGACACACCTTGATATGATTTTCTCATACATAAGTGATTTCAAGCTTACTTTCAAAAGTGATTTCAAAAACCCGGTCCCGGAAAGCTGTCCTGAAAAGTGATTTGAAAGTGATTTGGGAATTCGGAAAAAGGTGAATTTTGGCCGGGCAAACATGAAAACAAAGTGATCTTTTACTAGGAAGACATTGTATCGTCGATGTAGACCTAGAGCCTAGGGACCTAGAGCCGCAGTCTTGAGGGTTGATCGTGAACAGCAAAACCACTTTGAAATCACTTTTCCAGGCCTAGAATGACTTTGAAATCACTTTTCCAGGCCTACAATCACTTTGAAATCATTTTTCCAGGCCTAGAATCAAATTGAAATCATTTTTCCAGGCCTAGAATCACTTTGAAATCACTTTCCAGGCCTAGAATCACTTGGAAATCACTGTTCCAGGCCTAGAGTCAAGTTGAAAACACTTTTCCAGGCCTAGAATGACTTTGCACTTTTCAAATCAAACGAGGCTGTCCGGCTAAGAGCCTCGGGCTTCCGGATTTCAGCATCCAACCTTCGATGCCTACGGGGTTCAGTCATGATTAGAGTGCCCAGCTACATGTAGTTACGATAGGTTTCTGAAGGGTGCTTGGGAGGGCATCCTGGGATTTGAGCGGGGTTGGACACGGGTTCCAGCATACATTGGAAACTACAGTTGCTCAGACCGGGATATGCGTCTGACTTGCGGCGCTTTTATACGATAGATAACAAGACACCCAAGAAAAACACAGGAGATATTCAGAATGTGAAATACCAGAACACGTGAAAGTGTCTCACGGAGAGAACAACGAACAGCACAACCAATGAACTGCCTGGTGGCGCTTGATGCAGTAGCATTAGCGAACTGAATATTACAACTACTTGTACCATGTCAGAAGCAGTCTGAAAGACTTATCCTTCGAGCAGGCCACCGCCAAGACAACCTCGTGGGAGGCCACGCGGCTGATTTGCCAGCCCTTCCGAAGAAGCTCCTCCTAAAGCAGGGATGGGGGGGGGGTTCGGGGCAGCCCGGGACCAGCCACAACACAGACCCTGATGCCAAACATAAGCTCCACGGAAGCCAAGGCCGAAGAGCTCAGCTAAGCGAGACTGTGCCCAAACTAAGAAACCAAAACCTGGGCCGTCGCCAAAACTCCAAACTCAACGAACCCAAGTGCCGTCTCCCTAGAAGCTTACCACAGCGTCAAAGGAATCGATGCATTGTCCGATAGGGTGCCTGCGAGGCGATCATCACCCGGTCTCTCAGTGTGTGGAACGTTAGGGCATCCGCCAGCAGCATCTCTGCCTGGAGAAGCCTGAGTAGCTGAGTGAAGTGCGTGAGTCAAAGGCTGGCTGTGTTTCAACATATTGCAGTATCTTCAGTTGAGTGATTCCGAAGACCCTAGCACTAGCACTGCACTATCCCTGCTCCTGCTGCTGCTGCTGCTGCTGCTGCTGCTGCTGATTCTAGCACTGGCAATATTACTTGTACTAGTCCTAGTGCTAGTATACACATCATTGCCCGTGTTCTGGCGACACAAATACACATGTATAGCAACTACGAAAATACTAACATACTACAGTGTACTGCAATATTCATATACTCATCTACTAGCATACTGATCTACGAACATACGAATACACGAAAACAGTATGATAATACAGTAATATCGAACATGCAAATAGAAATACATATACTAGTGCTGATACCAGTAATGGTACTCATAGCTGAAAGTGTACATATAGATGTATTTATATGTACATCTACATATGCACATACATATAAGTACGTCAACATATGCACGCGCATAATGCGTAATACATGATACACAATACATATACGTAATACATATACTCATGCTCATGCTCGTGCTCAGACGGCTATTTTGATGACTACATCCCCTCATTTCCATAAGCTGACGGAACTGACGGCTTCCAAATGACATAGAAACACGAACATCGCCCAGTGGCGCTCTGTGAAGTGCCTCCGGACGCGGCGTGCTCGGATCCCAAGGTGGTGGAAGAAGCGCCTGCAGGAAAACGGTGATCTAAAGTAAATAATATGGTTTCTTTATGCTGGTAATTTAAAATAGGTCCCCTAACATAAAACCCAGAAACCCAATTATCAAAGGACCTGGAGGCTCCGGGAGTTGAGAGGTTGAGGGTGGAATAAAATATCTGGAGTCTAGGGTTCAGGGTTCAGGGTTCAGGGTTTAGGGGTTTTAACATGAAGGCTTGTTGCCATTCTAATTTTAATCGTTACTCTTATCATCCACACCACTGTTCTACTTCTTCCTGCATAGCTAGCCTCCTCCGTCGATGCTTGCTGTCATCCTCGGGGCCTTAGGGTTCAGAGTTTTACCCTAGGCCCTAAACCTTAAACTTATAAACCCTAAACCCTAAATGAAACCCTAAAGCCCTAAAGCCCTAAAACCCTATACCCTAAAACCCTGAAAGCCCTAAAACCCTATACCTTAAAACCCTAAGAAGCCCTACAAAACCCTATACAACCCAAAAGCGGTTGAGGGCTTCTGCTTCGGCTCTTTGGGTTCATCCCCGGGGACGGAGATCGCCTGGCTCCTGCCCTTCAGGCCCTGGCCCCGCAGCTGGAGCAGCAGCCGCATGCGGCTGTGAATGAGCCTTTTTTAAGGTTTTTAGGGCTTGAGAGGTTTAGGGGGTTAGGGGGTTTAGGGTTTAAGGGTTTAGGGGTTTAGGGTTTAGGGGTTCAGGGTTCAAGTTTAAGGTTCTTTTTGCGGGTCTTTGGGAGGTTTAGACAAGAAGTAGAGGGAGTTTTGGGACTTGGGCTGCAACTACCGGGAGTTTTGGCCTTGGGCTTTTGCGATGCTTTGAGGTCGTAGGTCAAGCGTTGCAAGGGCAGGGAGGTTGGGAAGGAGTCGCCTTGGCTTGAAGCCCCATCCTCAAAGCGCAAGAAGTCGAAGAACATAGCTCAGGACAGCCCGTATCTGCGCGGGTTACTATGAGGGGTACCATGAGGGCCACCATGATGGGCACTATAAGGGGTACTACAAGAAGGGCTATTCTAAGAGGTCTCCATCTGGAGGCTACCCGAAGCCCTCGACGATGCTTGAAGGTCAATGCCCTGTCTGCAAGCCAGTGGGCTGTGAGAGCTCCGCCGGGAAGTTCAGGCAAACCTGGCTTGGGCTTGTGGCTTTGAGGGTCGGAGGCTTTGGGGATTTTGGGGGGGTATAATATAATATCATATAATATCATATTATATCATATAATAGGATGTCTAGGTTTACAGCTCGAGAACGAGAGCTGCAGTTTTAGGTTACTGGCGACGCATGAATGTGTACAGTTATTGACCCTTTTTGTACCCCTCATGGTACCGCTTATACTACCACTTCTAGCGAGCAGTATCCCTTTTCGTACCCCTCAAAATATCCTCATTATCCTGGTACCCCTTAAGATACACACGCTTAATATCTGTGGACAGGCGACGCCCTTCTTCGGGTGGCTGGTGACGCGCACCCGCGGCCGCGTCGCCAGCAAACGCTTCGGCGGCCTCATCCTCCCTGTCCACCTTTCTTGGGAGTTCGGTCTGGGGTTTAGCCATCGATTGTAAGGATCACCCCTAAACCCTAAACCCTATAAACCACCACGTTGAATCGCTCGAAAAGTCCCTAAAGTGCTAGCAGGGCCGCACTCTTCGCCTTCTGGGGGCTCTACCGAATTTATTCAAGTGTGACATCGTGCCCTCGCTACAGTGCCGGGCGTATGTTGTGGTGCGCATCGTCTTCCCACCACCGTTTCCGCGCGTGCCCGTCCCGAAAACTCGTGCTAAATCCCAATCCCAGAGCACAACATGTTGCAGAAAACCGACCAAGCCGCAGCTCGATGGCATATTGACCTGCGACACAGTGAAGATGCCATCGCTCGCCGAGAAAAGAGAGAGCTGCCTCCATCTCCGCAAGCTGCTGGAGCGCCTTGTTGGTCAAACGAGCGTTGGCGATGTCCAAGAGCTCTTGACGATGAGCTTCAGCCGCCTCGTCCACCTCCGAGGCGTGCCGCATGACCTGCGAGAAGTCCAGGGGCCTCGGCACCGCCGACTGGAGAACCAGGAACTGGGTCTCAGCCTCCTCGGCACCACCTGAGCCGCCGCTGACGCTCAGCAGCTGCGCTGCCGTGGTTGCACGCTGCACACCCTCCAAGGCCGTCTCCTGCGCCTCCCGCAGAAACTCGATCCGCTCCCGGTCGCTCTCCACCGGACCCGCCGGACCCGCAGCCTCATGTCGGCGCCGTTTCGCAGCCGACTCCTCCAGAAGCAGTCGCTCGACGCAGCGGCTCGGAGTGGCATCTGGATCCTCCCAAACGGGCTGCAGACTTCCATCCCGGTGCTGGTCGAAGCGAAGCAGCACAGAGCCGACCGGGCTCTCGAGGACTACGGGGACCTTCTTGGCATTCTCGGCAGTGGCCATGGGTCCGGTGTGGCATGCACTGCCGATGAGCCTAGAGCTGGGGTCCAAGATGCACAGGGGAAAAGCAGACAATGAAACCATGCGACAACACGACTGAATGGGCGTTTGCTCCATCGGGGGTGCAGGATCAGAAGTACTAGGACCTCCACAATCTGCAAGGGTCAACACCTGTGACGACGAGCTGATCTGCAAGCTCGCATATTCTACCTCCTCACCCATGCTCACAAGCCTGCTTGATTTCTGACTGAGGGCTCCCTAACCACCGAACCTCAAAACGCTCAGAGCACTCCGATTGCGTTTTTTTCTCGGCAGCATCACCAGTCCATGAGGACATCCTGCGTGGGTCAGGCAAACCAGAAAACCCTAAACTTAAACCCTCAACCCCTAATAACCAGAAAACCCAAGCCGAAGCTATGCACAGCGCATCCGAAGACCTTGGACCCGAAATTGTCCGTCAGCCTGTAGCCTGGTGGCATGGTACATCCTACTCAGTATATACGGTTTACGGTTTAGTATGCCGCCGTCTTGGAACCAGGAGTTTCAGTACGTCTTCCATGGTTGAAACCTGGCTGAATAGTGCCAACGACTGCAGCCCTTGGGAACAATGAAAACATGCCATTGCAAGGAACCCCCTTCTGAGCTCAACCAGAACAACCCGCATCTAAGAGCTGTTCTTCGTCGATGCTCCCCACCCCGAGCCTGAACTCTCCCATGACCTGTCCTCGTTGCCGACCGGGTCCTCGGGAGGCTGCAGCCACCTTTGATGGGTCCACTGCTCATGGCTTGAAAAGGAAGCTATTCGGCGTTTGAGCTTTGTCCAGATCGCCTTCGTCTTTGCTTAGTGTGGTCAGAGTAGGAGCAGCCGCAGGATGGACAAAGAATGATAGAACTCGCAGCCTATATGGGTAGTAGCAGCACGAGTAGTCGTCGTCGTTGTCGTCGTGCTACTACTACTAGCTACTGGCTACTGGCTGCTGGCTACTTGTTACTGCTACTCCCACTGCCCAGGCATCCGGACCTGGTCAGAAACTCGCACTTCTCCGGGCAGACGCGGCCCCCTGCCTGCCAGTTTTTGGGACTCGGGGTGAGGGCTTGGGTCGTTTGAAGTCTCCGTCCGTGTTTCGGGGTTTGATATGCTGGGTTTTGAGATTTCGGGTTTTATGAGTTTGGGATGTGTTTAGAATGCTCGAAAGCTTGCCAGCATCTCTGGGAACCTTGGCGCGGTCTCTCGAGGAGTGAAGAGGGGGTTCTGGGTAGTCATACCAGCCCTCGTACTGTACTTGTACCAATACTGTGATGCGTACTGATACTGATACCAAACAGATGCTAAAACTGATACTAAAAGTTCGTACAAGACTACGACTGGTACCAGTGCATCTGGAACCTCGAGGGGTCTGAAAGCCTCTGCACTTAGCCATCCCTGATCTGATCTCTCGAAATGCAAATCTGGCATTTCGGAAGATGGGTTTGGGGTTTAGGGAATATAGTGTTTAGGGGTTTAGAGAATATAGGGTGTACGGCAAGTTCGCGAAAAGACCCAAGGCTAGATCAATAGAGCTGAGCTTTGCGATGCATTGTCCTAAAGCCTAAACCCTAAATCTAGTCCGTCGGTATTCTTGTCCAGACCCACTGTGAACTGCTGCCCTGTGCATGGGAGTCTCAGAAGAGACGGGACTCTACGAAGATGCCTAGATAGGAGGATCCTCCTTATTATTATTATTATTGCTATTATTGTTACTATTATGCAAGTCCCTAGCCTTAGCCCGAAACCCTCCACCCTAAATCCCGGCAAAAGGAAGCCCCCGAAACTGTGAAGAAACCGCTACATCGCCTTGCACTCGTTGCGAAGGGGGCAGCAGAGGCAAGGTACCACCAGGCGGCCCTCTCCTTCCGCCTGCGCCCGGAGTTGGCGGTTTGGGGTTTAGGGGTTTAGGGTTCAGAGTTTAGGGTTTAGGGGTTTGGGGTTTAGGGGTTTGGGGTTGCAGGGGTTTGGGGGTTTAGGGATGTTGGAGTTTGGGGTTTAGGGTTTTGGGGATGTTGGGGTTTTGGGGTTGTAGGGTAGGGCTTTTGGGTGGCAAACCACTCCAACCTAAACCCCTAGTGCCTCTACGTCTGAGGAGTGCAGGCAGGCTTCCGGCTCATGGCATCTGAGGCTGAGGCCGAACTCCACAAACCCCGAAACCTCAAAGACCAAAGCCCGACCCCTCAACCCTGAAACCAAGGCGTATACATCCACACAATGTTATGGAAATGCATAATGGGCATCGATCTCTGTAGGACTTCTGCACTGTCCCTGGCCTGCCGCAAGAAGTTTGGCAAGCGGGCCGCGAAGATATCCATGGGCTGGTCAAAGCCACCTGGCCCCGTTTTTGTGTGGCCCTTTTCCTACCATGGTCGAGCCTTGCCGGCGCGAAGGAGAAACCAGCCAACCCCCGATTCCTATGGAAAGACAAAGCTGAGTGTCATAAGGAACTAAAGCAGCTGGGTTGCGGTTTTAGGAACCTTCGCCAGCCGATCGCTACAGCGACTGGAGCACGAGGAGGCCTCATGAACCTCTGAACGTCAAGGCAAAGTATCCCCCTACCGATTCGGGCTTGAAGCCGTAGAGTCCGTAGAGTTGAGGGCTTCGCTTTAACCTACCATCTACAGATCGGAAAGGCGACGTAGGGACTCAAACCTTGCAATTTCGGAAATGGGCAGAACCGGCTGCTTTTATCGGATCCTTAAGGGAGGGTGGTTCAAGCGGGGAGGGTCCCAGGGATCCTTAGAAAGCTTTAGGGAACCTTATTGGGTTATAGACCCCTCTTAGAACCCCCTCCCTTAAGGATCCCATGATGCTTTGTCTGTCCTAGCCCGAGGCCTGGGCCGAAGGTAACAGCGACACACGGGTTGGACTCTCTCCGAACAATTCTGAAGATGCAGTTTCGGGCTTGAAAGGTTCAGGGTTTTAGGTTTTAGGGTTTAGGGCTTTAGGTTTGTTTTTGTGTTGATGTACAGTTTTAGGTTTAGGGCTAAGAGTTTAGGCAGGATTCCCTTTTCCGCCAAGCCCTAGCCCGGCGATGGTTTTCGCACTCCCAAGCCACCTTTCCGGCGGCGCATAAAGACCCGCTGTCCATCGGAGGTGACGAGGGAGGAAACCTCCTGCAGGACAATTTTGGTATTAATTGAATGTTTAGGCGAACGCTATCCATCATGACTCCGAGGAGTTCGCAGGTTTTTGCGTTTCTAGGGGTTTGGGGGGAAGGAGGAGGGATGATTGCATCTTGCGGTTTACAAAAGCAACAGCAAGCAATGTTCAAAAAGGATATACTGCTGCGCGGCTGCAAAGATTTCTTGACAAAAAACACGAAAAAGCAGGGACCTTGAACATCCAACTCCGCATGTGTTGAAAACATCCTTCTGCGCAGTGTTTTCGCGCGTGCGAAGACGACTCATCACAGTACCCGTTCACTGCTCTTCCGAATACACGATGCAAATTCTTCTGATGTACGTCCGATCAAAAGCGATAGCAAACAATGTTGAAAAAAGTATATACTGCTGCGTGGTCGCACAGACTTCCCGACAGCAAGCACGAACAAAAAGCAAGCACACTGGAAATCCAACTCCGCATGTGCCGAAAACATTGCCATGCGAAGTGCGAACACGAAAGCCTGATAATTAAAGTTGACGGTTTGACAATGACCAACACACGGCCGGCGAATGCGCATGCACAAAACGCCGGGGTTTGGGTGTTTTCCTGCGTTGACCACGGAACTGCCATGCACAAAATCGCCAGGGTCACAATGGGCGGGCGTTACCTTTAGGGTGCATGGTTCATAGTGGGCGGTTTCAACCAAAAAATCCCACTCAAAGCCATCCTTGGACCCTAAACCCCACAAACCCCTAAACCC